GACTGCTCTCTACCCTCACCTCAATGAAACAGATCTTTCTTATCAACCTTCTAAATTGTCATAGGCTGGAAAATTGTTTCACCCTGTACTTTTGTTGGTTTTGCCACTCCAGAATTCCCTTTTTTTTTTTTGCTAGGCAATGGGGTTAAGTGACTTACCCAGGGTCACACTGCTAGTGAGTGTTTTGTGTCTGAGGCTGGATTTGAACTCAAGCCCTCCTGAGTCCAGGGCCAGTGCTCTATCCACTGTGCCACCTAGCTGCCCCCATCCAGAATTCCTTTTGAGGCATTATTTTGAAGATGTTTGGATGGGAATTTGGAGAGCTCAGGTGAGTTCCTGGTTTACTCTGCCATCTTGACTCTGGAGGTTTCCACAATTTAGGATTTTGTAGAGAAGAATAACTGGTAAATTAAATGTGTTTTTCACCATTCCCCTGATTGTTCTAGTTTCATGTAGACAGGGGCTATCTTCAAATTGGGTCAATATTAATTTCTTCTCATCTGTCTCAAGGAGCACCTAAGTTGTTTTTATTCTGGAGTAGAGTCTCACATACTTTCTTTGGACATGTATCTTCAACATAAGCCCAGGAATACATCTTTTACTTCTCTAGGCTTTCTTTTTCTCTCTCTAGAGCTAAAAGCAAAGCTCCCTTATAGATTTTTTTTGTTTTTTTCCTTCTTTCTTTTGTCCTTTCTTTAATCTGTCTTTCTTTTTTAAGAAAGCAAGAGTGTAGGGGAATTTGGAAAGCTTGTTTTTTCTTTCTTTTCTTTTCTTTTTTTAGGCAGTTGGGGTTAAGTGACTTGCCCAGGGTCACACAGCTAATAAGTGTCAAGTGTTTAGTCTGAGTTCAGATTTGAACTCAGGTTCTCCTGACTTCAGGGCCGGTGCTCTATCCACTGCACCACTTAGCTGCCCCGAGAACTTATTTTTTAAAAAATCATTATTCTTCCATCTGGAAGATTTACTCTCTCCTTCCCCGCTTTTCCATCTCTAACCTGCCTCCTAGACTATATCAACAACAACAATAATAATGATTTTGATGATGATGAAAGTAAACTGTCATTTAATATAATGTTACAAGGTTTGTAAAGCACTTGACAAATATTATCTCATTTGAATATCACTACAATCCTGGGAGGTAGGTGTATTTAGCATCTCTGTTTATGATATTTAGAGCATTCCCTTCTGGTCCCTCATTCCCCACCTTAGGGCACATTGCACAGGACCAAGACTCCAGTACATCACAGGTCTATGATTTCATCAGCATGTGTCCTATCTCCACCTTTATAGATTATAACACCTCAGTGCCGTGTCATATTCATGATTTGGTGTAACAAAATAATAATAATGCATTGCCTAGTAACCAACTTGATGATGGAATGTTTCTAATTTAAAATTTTTGTTATCTTTTATTTAATCAACTGCATTTCCAAATACATTCCCACCCACTGATCCTAGAAGCCATCCCTGTAGCAAAGAGTACAAAAGGAAGGAAAAATAGCCATTAAGTAAAACTGATCAATCTGTCAATAGCCTGACAATACAAGTTCCATGTCCATCATCCCCAGCTTTCGCAAAGGAGGAAGATACTTATATTATGAAAGATCCAACTATGTTTTTTACTGTTTTAAACATGAATGAGTTTTCTATCTTGTCAAAAGCCTTTTTCTTCATTTCTTGACATAATTGTAAGACAAATATGTAGACAATAAAGGACTTTGGTTTTTGTGAGAATCTGTTAGTAAGGCAACTTTGCAGGTGGTTCTGCATGTGTAGCAGTAGCACTCATCATTGCACTAAAGCTAATAAATAATCTAGAGCTAGGAGGGACCCTGAGGCCATCTAGATCAACCTTTCACTTTATACATGAAGAAAGGGAAGTTAAATAACTTGTCCAAGTAGTAAATATCACAGGTAGGATTTTAACTCAGACGTCCAACTCCAAAGCCAAGGCTCTCTCCGTTGTATCGTTCTGCCTCTCTAATTGTGTAGAAATGATGATGGAAAGGTTAAAAGCCCTAAAATACCAGGTTCATATAGCATTTTTTATAAAATTGGTGCTATTGAATCTTTTAGCCAAGTGAGCTCTGCAGCTACACATGTTGGTAATAAGATGATAGGGTTATAGAACTATAGAAATAGACCTCAGAGACCACCTAGCCCAACACTCTCAGTTTAAAGATGAAAAACTTCGGTAAGAGTGCATTTGTTTTACATAGACTTGACTAGTTCCCCTTTAAGACAGTAGGGAAACTCTTCTCTGGATTGTCGTTAGCTTGTCCTTCTTGTTGCTTGAAGCCTAAAAGGCCTGGCCCATGAGAAACTGGTGTTAGAGTATTTAGCAGAATTCTCAGAGCTGGTTGGGGACACCTTTCTTGTGTGGCTGCTGTGGTGAATGCAGATGCCGAGGGGAATAGCATTTATCGCCTTTAAATCCTTTTTGGCCCTGATTTCCTCAGGGTTCAGCACTACCACTGGGTCAGAAGTCATGCTTCCCATCTTCAGCCTATCAATTCCCATTTCCATTAGCATTGCTCTTTTCTTCAGTGCTGTTATTCAACTAGATACATAGTCTTCTCTACCTTCAAGGTATGGTCCTTAAAAGTAAAAAATGCATTTACCACTGCTTCTAATCACTGAATACCCAAAGATAATTTATTTTCATTTTACTTAAGCTGGTTTTCCAGTTTTTTAAAAAGTTAATAAGAGTAGAGGACAGTCAATCTTGTAATACCTTTGCTCTCCCTGTCAAACTTCTTAAAACATCCATTAGGCTAATCCTGTAGGATCAGAGAGAACTTCTTCCTTATCCCTTTGAGAGGGTTTCTTATATAACCCTAACAGAGTGTTACTGCAGAATGTCAGAGTCCTATATGTAACTATCCAATCACCCAAGGCTCCCTGACTTCCATACTACCCTTTCCCCAATTCAAAAACGAATTCAACCATGAAGTCATAAGCAATCAACCACTGCAGACTAACACCAAAGTACACTGAGTCAGGACTAACTCAGGCCAATCCAGTGATGCAGGTTCAGGATTAGAATACACTGAGGCATTTATGGACCATAAAAATGCAATAAAACAATTTTTCTTAAGATAAGATTTAAAAGGATACAATTGAGAGAGAGAGGAGCAGAATGTGAGTTATAGCTGAAATGGAACTGGCAGTTTGGATTCACTTTCAGTAGAAGGCTTTGAACTGAATTTGTAAGACTTTGAAAAGTGTGGATACCGGGGCCAATAAAGGCCAATGCATTCTGGTAGTGCTTCAGTGCCCACATCATGGGTTCCATACTGCATTTGGGAAGCAATAAGGAGAACACCATGGCCGATGACAGATAATTTTGAGGCCTTGGCAATATCTACACAGGAGAAAAAGAGAGCTCTGGGAAAGAACGATACCCATAGTTGGCATATTAGTGTGTGTGTGTGTGTGTGTGTGTGTGTGTGTGTGTGTGTGTGAGAGTCGATCCACGTCAGTGACACCAGTAGTACTATAGTTGCATTCCTTTCCTATTCACCTAAGTAGGTGTTGCCTAAGGTGGAGGAATCTTTTTTTTTTGGCAATAGGGTTAAGTGACTTGCCCAGGGTCACACAGCTAATAAGTGTTCTGTGTCTGAGGCTGGATTTGAACTCAGGTCCTCCTGAATCCAGGGCCGGTGCTCTATCCACTGTGCCCCCTAGCTGCCCCCTTGGAGGAATCTTAATGGAACTATTAATAGGACTTTAAACAGGATGGCTAAAATCTCAGAGCAATTCAGTTGTCCAGTGCAGATCAAGTTGACTGTTTCCCTAGGTCCTTGGAAAAAACCCCGTCATTATCTCTACACCTCTTTCTGGGGGTGATAAAAGAGAGAGGTAATGCATTTCTAGAGTAGTTCATCTTGGTGTTCAGAACACAGCCCTGCACATTTGCAAAGGTGGGATCTATATGTCAAATATACTCCCTATCACTGCATTGCATGGATAGTACTTTTAATGGAGGAGATTACATTGCTGGAGAAATAAAAGGAAGCCAAGGGTACCAATAGAGGACATGGGTTACTACTATAGAAATACTGATTATCAGGCATATAGAGGCAAACCCCAATCAGGTGAAAGCCCTGTTGGAGTGAGTACATTACTTTAGATTAGCTTTTGGAGAGACATTTGGGGACCAAGAAAAGGGAGTCAGGACTGAAATATTGAAACGAGGATTGAGCAATGAACTTCAAGGTCATTTTGCAGTGTACTTAGCCCTCCAATTTAACAGGTCTGATGGACATAGTTGACCAGTTGAATGATATACCATAATCTCACAGGATAGGTCAAGCATGTAACACAAAGGTTTGGAATTCCTCGTGTGTGTATGTGTTGTGGGGGGAATAATTTTTGGCACAGTATAGAAATACTGCCTGTGCAATGCGAGGTCATATGCAACAAACAAACATCCTAGAACTGATAGAGGAATGTCACTGATACTAGTATGGAGCTAAGGGTGATCAATTCCAGCAAGACTGGGGCCTAGATGGGAGACAGCATTGATGAACATTGCCAGGAGGGGTAGAATCAAGGTTTCCAATACCCAGGATGCTGCTACTTGTGACTTGGTCAGATTTTGTATTCAACTTGGGAAGCAGAGCTTCTTAATTTTTTTGTGTGTCCTGGACTTCTTTGGCAGTCTGGTGAAACTTAATACTACTGTGATTTATTGCCTTTATTCATAATTAAGGAAATGCTTAATTTCAGTTAGAGATTAGTGGAAATAAAGATATAATTTTTTCCATCCATGTTAATGGACCCGAAGAAATCTCTCCATTGTTGGGAGCCGGTGGGTACAGGTTAAGAACCTCTAATTTGGGGTATTAGTATGCTCTGCTTCCTGGGAACAATTTTCTTATAGGGAAATTTAGTAATTAATTTATTCAAACAATTGGTCGGTGTGTGTTTATGGAATAACACGTTCTCACTTATCCCTTCTCCCTAAATGGTGACCTATTTGTCCAGCCTCCTCAAACTTAGAAGCCATGTCTCTTATAAAATTTGCATCGGGCAAGAATATCGTTGATGTAGTCATTTTCTACATCATTAGGGGTTACAATGTCATCAATCCCTGATTTGTAGGCAAAGAGACCACCTGAAATAGAACACAAAAGCATTAGAACTAAATGAGGAATTTCAGCCAGAAGTAGGACAGGAAAATGCTATGATGCCAGATCACTGTTCTAACTTTTTCCCAAAAAGGGGACTCCTTTCTTTTTCTCCCCTTCTAAAAAATACAGGATGACCTTCAGGTCACTTGGAAAATGTTGGCTTGTCCTCTTGAATAGTCTAGCTCTGATCAGAAATAGCCTCTCCGCCCCCAGTTCATCTCCACTGTGAGCATCTTTCAAAATGTTTGTTCTTATCCCATAGATATTCACAATTGCTGAGAGTGGTTTTTGCATCAAGGGATCTAAATTGAACGTCAGCAAGCCTTATTACTTAAAAATATTTGCTACGTCCGTGCTTGACCAAACCTTGTCCCTTTAGGAGCTTTTCATTTTGGTGACAGTAGTTATCCACTCATGAACTTTTGTCTACTGAGTCTCAGAATGTCAGAGTTGAAAGAGATCTCAGGGAGCAATTAATCCAATCTGTAGGTGAATAAGAATCTCCACTATAATATTACCATGTTAAGTGGTCATTCAGTCTTTTTGCTTGAAGACTTCCAGTGAGGATTATGGAGGCCAATTCCATTTTTGGTCAACTCTAATTGTTAATAGTTAGTATTTATATAGCACTTTAGGGTTTGCAAATATTATCTCATTTGAAATAGTTATTATTCTCCCCATTTTGTGGATGAGGAAACTGAGGCAGACAGAGGTTGAATGACTTTCTCAGGGTCCTATCATAAGTGTGTGAATCTGGATTTGAACTCAGGACTTACTGACTCTAGATCCACCATTCTATCCACTTCACCACCTTAGCTGCCTCTAGGAAGTTTTCCCCTGATATCAAGCCTAAATTTGTCTCTATGCAGTTTCTACCCATCCTACCCTTTTGTATGTCTCCTCCTAACTGAAGCCAAAGTCTTCTCTTCAGCTGAAGAAATACCTCCAGTTCCTTTAAGCCATCTTTATATAAAATGGTTTCAAGGACCTTCAGCATCCTGGTTGCCCTCCTCTGTATACACTCCAGTTTGTTAATGCCCTTCCTAAAATATGGAGCTCAGAAGAAAATACCTTAAGTGAGGGAGGCCATACTGCCACTTATCACCATTTTATGCCAGAGTTTTAGAAGCTTTGAAATCATAGTTAAGAAATCAAATGGACCTCATATGAAAGTGTCTTGTCCTGAAACTAGAATTTCCCTGGGGGGAAAGAAGCCTCACTGCATTTTCAACTTTTTCAGAGTTGAGGCTTTCACAAATCTCATTATCTCATCATCAAATCAAGCTTTGACTGATACCACCTCGCTCAGCCTCCTCTCCTATCTGATTGGAGGGCTGGGGGGCCATGTACCCAACTCTTCCTAAAAGCTTCCTTTATAAAGGGCAGAAACTTCTATTTCTCCCATTTTCTTGCCTTCTTTTGTATGTCTCCTTCCAATAGATTATAAGCTCTTTGAGGGCAGGGACTGTTTTTATTAATTGTATCCCTAGCACTTAGCACAGTGCCGGTCATGGGATAGGTGCTTAATAAATGATTATTGGATATTGGCTTTTTAAGTTTACAGCTAGAAAGGCACTTAGAGACCATTTAGTCCAAACTCCTAAATGTATAAAGGAAACAGGCCTAGAGACGTGCCCAAGGTCACTCAGGGGCTAAGTAGCAAAGGTGGAATTTAAACCTAAGTCAAAGACTCCAAATCCAAGCCCCAACCCCCACCCCTAATCTCAACATGCTTTCTCACCACCTCTTTTCCAACACATTGGATAGGGCCTGTGGTTTGGCTAGTGAGACACTAAACCACAGAATTCCTTAAAAGTCTACAGTTTGATAGATAATTAAATTGAATAAGTCTCAGGTACACAAATCCTTATTTACCAATGTCATTTCACCTAAATAACTTTGGTGTGGCCAATCTTTCTGCAGCAAGTCAAAGATAATGTTCAGGTCAGAAGTAATTTTATTCATTGCTCATTTCAACAAATAAACTGGACTCACCTTTCAGGTGTTGACTCATGGTCCAGGTTGGGAATTTTCTCTGGATTGCCTTAATTTTGTCAGTTAGGATCTTTACAGCCTGTGTAAGGTGCTCTTGACTGTCCCAGGCTCCAGTGGGGTGATAAGTGTGTTTATCAAGCTAAAACAATAAAATAACAAGGTCAGAATCCCTAGGAGAAAATGTAGTTTTTTTCTGTTGTCCTTGCCCTTCCAAAATTCATTTTTTATTTCTCAGATTTTGAGTTTTCTTTTTTATTTACCCACAAAGGGTTATTTCTCAAGGTTTTTTTTTTTCCTTCAGTGAGAAGAAAGGTAATGTGTTAAAATGAGTACTGGATTTGGGGGCAGAAGACTTGGGACATGTCTCAGCTCCACCACTTACCAGCTGTCACCATGGGTAATTCATTTAATCTCTCTCAGCTTTAGTTTCCTTATCTTTAAAATGGGAATAAATATTTCAGAACAAGTAGAATAATATACAAATCATTTTATAAACTATAAAGCATTATATAAATGGAAGGCATGAATTTTTAAAAATTGTGTGTGTGGGGGAATGAGTACTAAAGAGCTCCAGTGAGAAAAAAATAATAAGATGACATTATTCAAAAGCCAGCTGGCTACTCAAAGGCCAGGTCTTCACAGTAAAAGCAAGATATTGCTTTTAAACAGTTATTCTAAAAATAATAGCTTGTACTTGTGATAGCTTCTCTACAGAATAGGACCAACATTCATACTTCTATAATGAGGTGCTTTCCTCACAATAACCCTAGGTACCGAGAAAACTGAGGCTCAGAGAAGGTAAACTAGCTCAAGTTCACATAGCTAGTTAGGGTAAAATGTCAATTATCCGGTTATGTATAGTCTAACTATGGAGTTCTTTACTGCACAGAGTTAAGGCAATTATCTAGATAATTCAAAACCCCCTACCTTCTTCCACAATAACTTATTGAATTGATTAGGAGTAAGGAATATTACTTACTTAGCCAGTATTTTGGTCCAAAGTGGTAAAAATGTGCTTTCTTTTTCAGTTATGCTATAGAGAACACTCTCTATGAATATAATTATTTTCTTAAAATTAAAGAGGCAGGGCAGCCATTTGGCACAGTGGATAGAGCACAGGCCCTGGAGTCAGAAGGGCCTGAGTTCAAATCTGGTCTCAGACCAGAAACTTGATACTTACTAGTTGTGTGACCCTGGGCAAGTCACTTAATCCTAATTGCCTCACAAAAAAAAAATTAAATTAAATAGGCAAAATCTGCATTTAGAGGTTCTTTTATAACTTTCCCCATTTGAGACATAGCATGCAGACAGCCTGCAAGTCACAAAGAGCTGAGTTCTAGCCCAGCCTCTGACACATCCTGGCTGGGTCACCCTAGCTAGGCCTGTCACTTCTCAGTGCCCCAGACAACTCTCCAAGGCTATAAATTGCAGAGTGGGAGCCAACTGACATTTGTAGAGGGCATTTCCTTAGAAGTTCCCTCTACCAGTGAGATCACAGAGCTGATCCAAATAATAACTATGCTGTAATTCACTTGTTCCTCATTCATCCAGCTACTTCATTCTTATAAGATGTCTTAGAATTGCCAGTGAAAGACAGGCCCTAAAGAAAGCAGCAAAGATGTTTAGCAGAAACCATTCAGCATTTTAGTAAATGTCCCATTAGATGAGGAAACTAAAGGCCAGGGATGAAGTGACTTGTCCAAAGTTGTACAGGTAGCAAATTGAAGTGCTGAGATTTGAACTGAGGTCTTTTGAATCAAATCCAGCCCTCTCTCCTCTGTACCACTTTCCCCCATTACAGGGCTGTTCAAGGGTTTCTGGTTTTGCTGACATTTTGGTGGAAAGGAGAACATCATTGCTGAACCTCAGGTGTTGCTTCTTGAGAGTTACCTGCATCAGACCAAATTTAAGTCCCTGATGGTCCCAGCCATCTCGGAGCACAGACCCAGCATGCGTCTCTCTGGAGATAATTCCAGCAATCAAAGCAGGATCCACACATTGTTTCTGTCCAACATCTTTGATTATTGTTTGATATTTCTTCATAGGCACCAAATCCATCTCAGCAAACATTTCTGAGCCACGGATCCCTACAGTAGAAATAGAAATAGCTATACTTTCTCTACTTCCTCAATTAGTTTTCTTTATTCTTAAAAATGACTGGGAATTAAAAAAAAATCTATAAGACTAGAGGTCATTTGAATCAATTACCCTACCCCATTTAAAGCACCTAACAAGATGCTCTAGCCTTGATACATTTATCTGAAAAAAAAACCACCTATATTTAATCAATCAATCACAGATCATTAACTTTGTATGAAAAGTCCTTAATCAATCTGGAAGGAGCGAAAGCTGTTAGATGAAATTTTCGAAATAACGCAACACAGGAAGCATATTGGAATTGGTTGAGGGGACTTAGACATACGCTGTGAGGCTTGGACAAATGTATTTCTGTACTGGACAGCTTGTTGTTAGAAGCAGTTCCATCCAAGCCCCTGAGAGGGAATTATTTGAGAGTTGAGGGGGGAGGGGAAGGAGAAAACTTCTGTCTCCTTTCCCCACTCGACCAGAGGATGATCTTGTGAATTCGAAAGGTAGAAAGATTTTTTAATGTATCCATGGGCATCCTAGCAGTGTCCCTAGAGCAGTAGTGACTGACATCAGCATCTGCATTGGGAGCTGAGGACAGTTTAGATAACATTGAATAAAGGGGCACAAGGGGCACTTTTAGGACTCTACAGGGAACCCAGCAGAAAGCTGTACCATACCTATGTGCTATACCCACGAGGGCTTTGTGAATGGGAGAAAAGGACTTAGCAGAAGCTGTGAGTTACCCCTTCACCACATGTTCTTTCTAAGCTGAAGTACACATTCCCCAGGACTCTGTGTGTACTTGTAGAAGAGTGTCTGGGGGGTTGTTTGTACCAACTCTTCTTACTAAGCTGCTTTGGAAAATAATCTTTTCTAAAAGCTAATTAATTTTGCTGATTAATTATTATCAACTTGTAGTCAATGGGAGGTGCACACCAGTGGAGACTCATGACTAATGGAATTAGAGAAACTATTCCTGATTATGCAGGATTACCCTTGAAACCATGAAGGTAGCTCCCAGGGACCCAGCTGGTTCCTGTGAACATAGCTTGTGCTACCCCATCTTTTAAGAAAGTATGGGGGCTCGCTATCACTTATTTTTACCTTCTGTTGAGTTTTGTTTTGTCTTTCTGATGGTTCCTCCTATTGGTTTTAATTTTTACTTACAACTTCACTAATGTGAAAATGTTTAATAGGAATGTAAGTGTAAAGCCTATATCAGATTGTGCGCCGTTTGGGGGAGGGTGGTGGGGAGGAAGGGGGAGAAAAATTTTAAACTCAAAAGCATATGGAAGTGATTGTTGATAAATCAAAACAAATTAATAAAACTTATAAAAAAAAGTATGGGGGCAACTAGGTGGAGCAGTGCATAGAGCTCCAGCCTCAGAGTCAGGAGAACCTGAGTTCAAATCTGGCCTCAGACACTTGACACTTACTAGCTGTGTGAGACCCTGGGCAAGTCCCAATTGCCTTTCCAAAAAGCATAAAAATAAAAAAGTAAGACAGCCATAGGCAATCCAACAGTGCTTGTCACTAAGGAAGCCAAAAATTCTACACCTTCTACCCTAAGCCACATTCAGAACCATAGAATAGTAAAGCAGATTGGGACCTTAGAGATTAGCTGGTTTGTCCCTCTGACTTTACAGAGAGATTCATGGACTAGTTCAAGGTCAAACAGTAGCCTCAGAAAACCCATATTTCCTGACTCTAAATTCAGCGTCCTTCTAACTGTACTACACTGACTTCCAATTTCCAGGAAGCTTTCCTTAGAAAGTTATTTCCTAGCTCATCTCCCTCCTGCCCAACCTCCCTCACAAAGAGAGAAATCTCTAAATTTCAGAATTGACGTTTCAGAGACAAAGGAGATTGTAATTACATTAAGCTAGCATAGTGGAATGAGTCCTGGCCCGGAATACAGAAGATTTGGGGCCTGGTGCCAATTTATCACTAAGTGGTTAAGGCAAATCATTTTACTTTACTGGGCCTCAGTTTCCTCATTGGTAAAATGAGAGGCTTAGTCTCTGTGGTTCCTTCCAGATCTGGATTCTATGATTTTATGATCTTAGTGGCCGTGAGATAAGCAGAGAGAGGTTGGAGAAGGATACAACAGAGGAAAAGATGTACAAAAATAAAAGCAACTTCTTTAAGTGAGAGTCCTAGAAGGGTATAAATGTGCACTTACCACAGTTGATCAATCTGTCTGTATCACAGGAGGCTCCAGGAGTGTCCATACTCATGATATCACCATAGCAACCATGGTACAGACGAGGCTGGAAGTGGGGATTCACGGGGGGAGGATATGGATAAGTGCCCTCAGAAGTAACTGAAAAGCAAAAGCCTATTTTAGACCAAGACTGTGAGAAAACGTGACGTGGGTTGTCATTTTGAATATTATTAAACCTGTAAACTATGAATAGCACCAGACCTTTTCTTTACCTTGTTAGATATTTATTCTTTCAATAATTCAAATATTTATTGAGTACCTTCACTATACACACTAGGCATAGTAAGATTGCATTCTAATGTTAAGGGAATGTCAAAAGGTCTAGCTTATATGATACTTAGGGCAATTTAGGGGAAGTAAGGAAGCATTCTGAGATGAAACTGAAAAGGTAGAAAGATTGGAGCCAATCTTTCAAGGCCCTGTATCCGAAAAAGAGTATAAACTTAAATTTTTAGGCAATTAGTATAGTAGAGCATTAGGCTTGGAGTCAGGAAGATCTGCAAAAAAAAAATTCATGTTAAATTGTCTTTACATGTAATTGGGAAAAAAATAAAATACTATTCAAAATTTTTAAAAATGTGCCTCATTTCCATCTCCAGTCAATGATCTCTGTACTAAGGAGAAGTGGTTCACCATCATTAACTGAAAGGCTTTCCATATGCACTATATGTTCATGAATCTCAAGGTATTATTATTAATCCTCATGATGAATAATTATATGTAACAGTCTATTTGTTCCAAAGGACGTCTCTTATACCCAGCCTATAATCTTCTGTCCCATAGAGTGAGTTATAACCAGGGCTTGAGGAAGAGCCGAGACCAAATGTTTGTGCACCCTAGGCAAGAACTGGAAATTGCATACCCTGTGTGTGACTGGAGACCCAAAGCTTTGAACCTTCCCTGTGCTATCTATATCCTGATTTATCATGAAACACAGTGAGTCAAGGAGAGTGAGGTTTTCTGGCATCAAATATATGTACATAGTAACTCACTTCTACTTCAATATTTTCATTAAAACATAGAAAAAAATAAATTATACTTTTGAAGTTACTATTGTGCAATGTGGGGGCAATAATAAACAGTGTGTAACACACATAGACACACACATGCATGCAACTCACCAATGAGGACAGCAAGGCCCAAAAAAATGACAGGAGCTAACATGCTAATGGATCTTATCTTGTAGGACGTAGAATGATTTTTGAAATAAAGCTGTTTAAAAAGAAAACATAGAAACTTCAGTAGAGAAAATGAAAAAGTCAACACAACTCACTTCAGTGCCTTGCCTAAATCTGTACCACAAAAAATTCCTAGGAGCCATCATGGGACATGATCTGATGGTTGTACAGAACCATAGGGTTTTAAGGCAAAGAAATCTAACTCCCCTTGTTCTCTTCAATGTGTGATTCCAGACAGATTTGCAGAAACCAGGGCCCAGAGAAATGAACCAATTTGCTATGGGTTTATTGTTGAGAATTTTTTTCAGTCGTGTCCTACTCTCTGTGACCCCATTTGGGGTTTTCTTGGCAGACATACTGAAGTAGTTTGCAATTTCTTCTCCAGCTCATTTTACAGATAAGGAAACTGAGGCACCAGGGTTAAGTGACTTGCCTAGGATCACACAGCTACTAAGTGTCTGAGGCCAGATTTGAACTCAGGAAATCTCCATGATTCTAAGCCCAGTGCTTTATCCATTGCTCCACCTAGGAGCCCTTACTATAGGTCACACAGAGAGTTAGTGGAAAAGCTAAGATTAGAATCCAAATCTTTTTCCTTTCTAATCCAGTGTTTTTTCCTACACCATTCTAGTCCCTTTCCTCAATGCAAACTCCAAACTTAGTTCTATTTCATTCATTTTACATCCCCACATGTGGGCACACACAAAGTAGGCAGGCAGGTGTGCAAACACAGTGCTTTCTTCTCTCCTTTTATATGACAATTCAATTTAACAAATATTTTTTAAGCATTGCCTACATGCAAGAAGAGGAAATGTGATGTATAGTCTCTGGAGATGGGCTTGGAGTCCAGAAGATCTGAGTTCAAGTTTCACCTCTGACACATGCTGACCCGGCTGGGTGGCCCTGGCCAAGTGACTTAACCTCTCAGTGCCCCCAGACAACCCCCTAAAACTGTAAGTTTCATCAGCGGAGGGAATTTCCAAGCCAGGGAATTTCCCATGCTGATAAAATCATAGGTCCAGTTCCCCCACTCCAAGTCCCCCCCACACAAAAAAATGCAAATCACAATTATTTAGGAATGAAACAGGGAGAACTTCTAATGGCCCAGGATTGTACTGTATGCAGCCTTACCAAGCTAGGCTTAGTTCTTGCCACTCTTAGTTCCCTCATTATTTCTGCATATGACCCTGATTTAAATGATCAAAGACAGAAGAGATGCCTTCCTTCCCTTCCTCCCCACTAGCCTGTTTTGGTCTTTAAAGAGAGAACAGTTTCCTTCCCTTTTCAAAACACACGTTCCTCTTGCTCAGGATGCGTCAGGGCTGGACAGAGAGTTTTCTTCAGATTTCCTCTACCTCTACCTCTGTCCTACAACACCGATTCAGCAGCAGTATCCTTCATGAGTCAACAGTTGGTTTTCCATCATGCACAAACCTGAGGGCTGCTCCCAGGGAATATTCCAAAACTGACATAGGGGACTCACCTGTCTCCAGTCGCCCTTGTCCTGAAACACCCATCTCCTGAAGGAGCTTTATTTATGGCTTGAACCCTTATATATTAATTTGATGACCTCATTAGGCCTGATTATTATGATGCTTTGAACTTAGGTAGCCCCTTTAATAGGAGGATATGAAAGAGTTTTCTAAACTTCAATTAATTAATTACTATAATAACTACCCCTTCCAGGAGACACTGGAGGGCCTTATTTGGGAATTTCTAATATTGTAATCAGACAGACATCTCCTAAATCTGTGTCCAAGAAACTAATAATAAACAAATAAACAGGAAATGCTCAGATTGGTAGTCCGGAAATGGGACAAGAGGGGTTTCATCTTCTTTGTTCTCCATTATTAAGATGTCACATCATGGCCGTACACGCACTTGTTCATTTGGGTCCCAGTATACATACTGATGACTTGTTCTGTGAGAGAATTATATGGGTAAGCACTAGGAAGAGTAGGTTTCTAGTCTGCCAATGTACTGGGGGAAATGAGCTGGAGGGAGAAGGTTGGGATGAGTTTGAGAAGAGAGACAAGTTTCTTTCTTCACTGTTGATAACTAGGATAATGGAAATTAAGCTGTGGGCAGCCCCAAATAGAAGAGACATGAAATCATAGATTTTGAGCAAGAAGAGACCTTGTAAGACATCAAGTGAAATTGCTTCATTTTACAGGCAAGGAAACTATGGGACAGAGGTTAAATGATTTGCTGAGGATTGGACAGCTAATAAGTGTCAAGGATTGGGGTTAAAGCCGGGTCTTCCTGACTTCCAAGTCCAATGTTCTATGTGCTAACTACACACTTCTTACCATTGGCAGAAAAGAACAGCTGCCCAAAGGGAGGAAAAAAATCAGACAAGGGGTATATTGATACCTACCATGGGGAAGAGAAGATTCTGTACCTCAGCACAGATCCCCAGCATACCCACTTACCCAGTGAGTGGACAATAAGGAGCAAAAGGTGGGGCAGGAAGGACAAATGCACTGAGTCTAAAAAAGACCCCAGGCTGCCAAATAAAAGGAAACTACAGTTCCTGGAAGGCTCTAAACACATCAGACTGACAAGAATTGCTGTTCCCAGCATTGGTTTATGTTCTGGCCAGAAGTGAACCTGGATGCTGAAGAGCTACAACTCTAAGGCCCTCTAAGGCTCTGTCCTTCTCTTCCCTTTCCTCCCCTCCTGTCATTCAAATCTATTTCTTTCAGTGGGCAGGGATAATCCTAGCCAATAGGATGGTTCCCAAGGTGGCTAACAGGGAGGTGATTCATGTGATCATTTGGAAGTCTAGGACTTTGGTGTATGTTAACACAAAAGGGACACACAACTACTACCCCCTTCCACCATCACCACGGACACCATGATTGTCACCATTAAGAGCAGTCAAAGCTACTCATTAATCAGGGTTTTATAGCACTCGGAGCTGGAAGGGAGTTCATAGATCTAGGCCAGAGGTTCCCAAACTTATTTGGCCTACTGCGCCCTTTAAAAAAAAAATTACTCAGTGGCCCGCTGGAATTCTGCTTTCTTTAACCCTTTAACTTTTTTTTTTTAATTTGCATCATTTCAAAAAAATATAAATTTTTTAATGACGCACTTTAAATTTAATAAATTATTGTAAATCTGTGGGTTTTTTCCTGTATTGAAATTTTGATGACACAATATTGTGTCATATTGTAATATAGTATTACGATATAGTATCATATTGTAAACAAGTCATTGCACGTACGTCTTCCTACCGATGCATGCTGGACTTCTGACAATGCACAACACACTTATCTGCCCACACTTGCCTGTTAAGGCCTGTTGGTAGACTTAACCCTAATCATTTATAACTTGCATTTTATGTGTTTATTCAGAAAATAATGTAATCACTATGACTTTAATTCTTACATGACAGATGAAACATGTACAAATGGTTTTTCCAAATTTTTTTGTCTTCTCTTAATTTCCTTATGCTTACACTACCCCATTATTTTTATTAAATGCCCCCCAATTTCACCTGAGGCTACTACCACCCACCTGAATCATTCCAGCATCCTCCCAGGTGGCAGTATAGCCCACTTTGGGAACCTATGATTCTAGAGCTAAGCCAACACCTTCGTTTTGCAGATGAGGAAACTCTGGAAGCCCAGAAAGGGGAAATGATTTGCCTAAGGCCACACAGATAAGTAAGTAGTAGAACCAGGGTTCAAATTCTCAACTCCAAAGCCTGTATTCTTTTTAACTACAACACGCTTCCTTCAAGTCCAATTACATAGGATATGACAAGCTGAGAACAGCCTGCAGATCAGTATGGGATCTATCACCAATGACTTGTTCATTTGATAGTAGTACTATGTTCTGCATGTCCAAGCCCAGTTAAAAACAAATGGGGGCTCTTTTAAATTTAATTTAATTTTTATTTTTAGCTTAATAATCACCAAATTAAATTAGCATTTCCATTGTAGAAGAGGAGAAAATTTTACTTGAAGCTATGAATCTCTGTTACATATGGGTTGCTTTTCTTCCTAAGTATGTAATAAATTCAAAATGTAACTTTAAAAGCTACCCTGCTTATTTGTGAGTCCTTCTGTTCTTCTGTTTTATTCTCCATGGTGGGGGAGGGGTGTAGGTAGAGGTAAGAGGCTAGACCATCTGTACTCTCCCTTCTATTATCTTTCCCTACAATGAAAAAAAAAAAGAAAAGAAAAAGAAATCCTTGTAACAAATATACATAGTCAAGCAAAGCAAATCCCTGGGGCAGCTAGGTGGTGCAGTGGATAGAGCATTGGCCCTGAAGTCAGGAGGACCTGAGTTCAAATCCAGTCTCAGACCAAACACTTTACACTAGCTGTGTGGCCCTGGGTAAGTCACTTAACCCCAATTGCCTAAAAAAAAAATTTTTTTTAAATGGCTTGTTAATTGACAAGTATTAGTTCCCCTATTCCCGCCCCCCCAAAAAAAAACCAACCACAACAAAAAAAACCCAAATCCCCACATTTGGCCGTATCTAAAAATGTATGTCTCATTCTGTGCCTTGAGTCCATCACCTCTCTGTCATGAGACGGGAAGCATGGTTCTTCATTAGGCTTCTGGAGTTGTGGTTGGTTATTGTATTGATCACAGTTTTTATGTCTTTCAAAGTTGTTTTTCTTTACAGTGATGTTGTTATTGTGGTGTGTGTGTGTGTGTGTGTGTGTGTGTGTGTATTGTCTAAATATAAACATATACACAAAGATAAACTCATGAGTGGCATGGATATATATGATCTGAGGTCTGGCCCACTTCTGTGGAAAGTAGGATGAGGACCCTATCTGCACTGACAGCATAACAATGGGAAGGAGTCAGGCAAGACCCAGGACCACTAAAGATGGGCTGCTTCTAATCCCTCCTATCTCCAAGAAGGATATTAAATTAGATTCTGTCTATCTGCCCCACCTCAGATGCCTCTAGGTACCTGTAGGGGTAGGATTTGTAGAGGTTCAGAAGGAAATCTGTCTCCCTGAT